AAGTTAGTGCAACAAAAGTGAAGCATGCTTTTAGGAATAATTGGAGAAATGTCCTGATATTCGACTAAAATTACAAAAACTCAACGTTATTAATTTTGTTCTTAGAAAATTGCACTATTTGAGGGATAAAGATTCATTTTTCATAAAAAATGAAGCATACTTTTAGGAACCTATATGGAATTTATCAACTTATTATTCCTTGCCTCTATCGCATCGATTTATCTGAATTAATCCCAAATTCTCTTACCATTAATTTTTATCCCCATCTCAATATTCCGTAAAGAAAGGAAGTTGGTATACAAAAAGTGTAGCATGCTTTTAGGGTGATATGTGGAATTTGGTTGATAATTGATTAAAACGTTGAAAAATAAAGATTTTCACTGATTGTATTACAAAGTGGAGTGTTCGAGGTATAAAGATGTATTTTCCATAAAAATTGAAGCATAATTTTAGGGAGTTATTTGTAATTCAATAAGCAATTAACTTTTTCTCATCGATTTATTTGAATTAAAACGCCTAATATTCTCTCTACATTCATTTTTTTAAATTCTAGTTTTGCCTAGACCAAGCTCGCATTGTCTATTTAATAATTATAATTTAGAATTACTTTATTTATAATTATAAAAAAGATAGTATTATGGTATTTCTTTTTTTTAAGTAGGGGTTTTGGGTTTTATAAATAATTAAGTGCTAGTATTGTTACTCTTTCTCCCTTTTTGTTGTATGCCATGAACAAACATCACGTAGCCATAGTTATGTCTCAAAAGCGGAGATTTCTATATCACCAATCAAATATTAAGGCAGGGGCATAAGATTTCAAGGCGAGGCAATTTAATTTTCCTTTATTTAAGATTTGAAAAAGTGAAGCATACTTTGAGGCCAAAATAGGTTTAACCTTAAATGCCAACGTACTTTTTACCATAGGCTTTTTTTGCCCTTGCATCTGTTACCCTGCCTCTCTCTTAATGCAAAAAATGGCCATAATTATCACAACTCCAATACAACACCACCAACCGATCAAAACTTTCAATAAACAAATTTACTTAACTCATAGTTTATAGTAGTTTTTTAAATATAGTTTTTTTTTTTTTTTTTGGTTTTAGCGAAACCCGTTTGAATTTTCCAATGTGTGCCATTTGTTAATTATTTTACAACACTCGAATTCAATAGTCATTTATAGTAGAGTACTTATTTACATGCATAGATTACAAAATAGAAAAAGAAAAAATTTATAACAATAAGAAAGGGTAGTTATTTTAGTTTGTATTTTAATTTTTATTATTTTTTTTTTGTTTACCACAGCATAAACACATTGCTTTGTTCTGAATCTAAAATGGTGCTAAATTTATATTTAAAAAAAAAGAAAACACATAGCGATTTATTTTCTTAGGAATTTAGTTATTTTTTTTCGTAAGGAAATTTAAGAGAAAAGAAAATTGGTAGATTTTGGTCCCACAAAAAAAAACATAATTCAATGACACAGTGACTATTTATTAGATTACATTGAAATATATTAAAAATAAAAATTATCTTGTCATCAAAAATTTAAATTTCATTGGAAACAAAAAAATCACGAAAATTTCATTTGTTCGGGATTTTTCTTTATCGTATTACTGTTATTTGAAATATTTATTGAAATATAGTAATGCATTTAAATTAATCCCCATTTCTTACACCATCAGTTTTTATCCCATCTCAATATCCGTTATACAAAGGAACTTAGCTTCCAGAAAATAAAGCATACTTTCAGGATGGTGCAGGAAAACTGCTTAATAACCGAATAAAATTATGAAAAAACATGTTCTGCTTAGTTGTTGTTACAAAATAAATATTCCGTATGTAAAGGAAACTAAATCTAAAAAAATAAAGTATGCTTTTAGGGGATGTTGTTTAATAACAAATTTTTATGATTCAATTATTTTCGTCATCCTTTGGAAATGCATTTTAATATATCAATTCATAGCTCTTATACCAGCAGTTTTAATCCCGCCCCAATACTCCTACTACAAGGAAACTTAGTTTTGAAAAATTAAAGTATACTTTCTGGATGGTATAGGGAAACTATTTAATAAACAAATAAAATTATGAAAAAATATTTTTTTTTAAATTATTTTTTGCATAGTATTTCTAATTCAAATAACATAAAAAATTAATGCATACTTTCAGGATTACATTGCGAAATTTTTAATAACTAAATAAAATAAAGAAATGGCTTTTGTAGCAAATTTTGAGGAAAATTTTCTATTTAAATTTTGTATATTTATGATACTGTGTTGTTGAATTATGAGCATTGGTTCCACCACCCTTCGTTTTAATTTTTATTTATTTTTTTTCGTAAAAAGTAGTGCAATATTACAATTCGTTTTGCTTTATCAAACAGCTTTCATTGTTTTACTATAAAAATATTTTTGTATTTTTTGTAAATTACAATTTGTTGTATTAACTTTGTTGCCTCCCGTTCTCAAAGCCGTCCAATAGAATTGATTCTTTTGATGCCATACAAATAATTACCACCATCTGCAATATGAACATTACAACTAGTCAAAACGAACTCAAAAATCGATATTAGAAAAGCTAAATAAATCAATAGAGGACAAGAGTTAGGTTTATTTTGTAATTTTAAGAGTATATATTTAGGGTTTTATTTTTAAATTTGTATTATATATATATATATATATATATATATATATATATATATATATATATATATATATATATATATATATATATATATATATATATATATATATATATATATATATATATATATATATATATATAAATATATATATATATATATATATATATATATATATATATATGTTTTTTAATTTTTTTTTTATTTTTTTTTATTTTTTTTTTTTTTTTTTGATGCAGAAAAAAATGTTCCCTTTTAGGATTTGAGAAAAATTTGAAAATAATTTTTTTTCATATATAATATGAGCTTAATTTTGGGAACCACAAAACAATGGAATTTATTATAAAAAAATCCCCCAAAATAAATATTTCTCCTCAAGGGATTTTTTTATATTGGTAGTTAAGCGTAAATCATTGAAAAATATGGATATCCGTTGTAAAACAAAAATTTCCCATAAAATTTCCAAAAAGGGACAAATTATTTTTTTCCATAGAAACGAAATATGAAAGAATTTTTGAAAAATTTTTGTTATGGGGTCAAATTGGATTTAAATTGTCCCAAAAAAATATGGATTTCCGTTGAAAACAAAAAATTCCTAAAAAAAATTGCGAAAGGGAAATTTCTCTAAAAATGGTACAAAAAAGGGAAATATGCCTCAAAATTTCTCAAATGGGAATTTTTTATTTACTACCACAAAACACATTACTTTTTTCCATACAAATTTGAAAGAATTTTTGAAAGATTCCTAAAAACAAAATTTTCCTTTCAAGGGAAATTTTTATTATGAGTCCAGAATTTTTTTCTTTCATATTTGAGAGCATATAATTGAAAAACATCAAATTCCGCTGAAAACAAAAATTTCCCTAAAAATTTCCTAAAAGGGAAATTTCCCTAAAAATGTACCAAGAGGGAAATATCTTAAAAATTTCTTAAAAGCGATTATTTTTATTACAAATCTCATTACTTTTACCCATAGAAACCGAAATTGAAAGAATTTTTGAAAAATTCCTAAAAACAAAAATTTCCCTCCAAAGGAATTTTTTATTATGAATCCAGAAATTTTTTTTCTTTCATATTTGAGAGTATATCATTGAAAAACATCAAATTCCGTTAAAAACAAAAATTTCCCTAAAAATTTCCCAAAAGGGAAATTTTGGGTTTTTACCTTAAATTACATTAGTTTTTTTTCCATAGAAACCGAAACTAAAAGAATTTTTAGAAAATTCCTCTAAACAAAAATTTCCCTTTGAGGGAAAAAAATTTTTTCCCCTTTGAGGGAAATTTTTATTACGGGTCTAAATTGAAAGTGTCGCTTATATTTATATTTAATTCTTTCAAAAATGTCGATTTCCGTTGTAAATAAATATTTCCCTAAAAAATTCGCAATAGGGAAATTTTTGTTTTTTACCTTAAATTACATTAGTTTTTTTCCATAGAAACCGAAACTAAAAGAATTTTTAAAAAAATTCCTCTTAACAAAAATTTCCCTCAAAGGGAAATTATTGGTCTAAATTGAAAATAAATTGAAAATGTCGCTTATATTTATTTTTAATTCTTTCAAAAATGTCGATTTCCATTGAAAACAAAAATTTCCCTAAAAATTTCCCAAAAGGGAAATTTTGATTTTTTACCTTATATTACATTAGTTTTTTCCATAGAAACCGAAACTAAAAGAATTTTTAAAAATTCCTCTTAACAAAAATTTCCCTTTGAGGGAAATTTTTAATATGGGTTCAAATTGAAAAAAAAAAATCCTTCAGATTTAAATGTAAATTTTTGACTAATGGCAATTTCCGGCAATTTAGAATGTAAACAAATTAAAAAAAAATTACCAAAATAATTTCCCTTAGGAAAAATTGTTTTTGATTTTTGGCCTAAAATTCCCCCAAAATTTATAAATTCCAAAAAAAAAATATTTTGGAATTTTTCTTAATTTGATTACTTTATTTTAAAATGATTTTTTTTAATAATTAATGGATTTTTATGCCATCCCAATATACCTTAGAGAAAGAAAGTTAGCTATTAAAAATTAAAGCATACTTTCAGGATGATAGCAATTTTTATCTGTTTATTTTATCGATTTCCCCCAAATTAAGCTCATATTGTGTAATATATAAAAATATTTAAAAAAATATTAAATGAAATCTCCATTTCATTCCAAAGAAAAAAAAAAGCCGCCAATATCGAAATTTGTTTTTTTCCTCTCCTCAATTTCAGATTTTCCCCCTATTTATTATTGTTGAAATATTTTTATTAATTTATAATTTTTATATTTATATTTATAAAACTCAAAACAATTGTGTAATAATTTTTTTTTTCTAAACAAAAATAATAATCATGTTGTGTATATGTATTATTTTAGTAGGAGCCATTAAACCACGACGTTTGGCGGCTACACGTGAACATCCATATCAGAGAGCAGCAGTTGGGGTCCCAGCAAAGCCGGGCTTTATTGAAATCAATTAGTAATTTAGTTTTACAAAAAAAAAAAAAAACAAGAAAATTAAATAATTTATATGCCTTACACACTTACAAAAAAACCTGCAGAGAAGTGAATGAAAAAAAAAATCAAACAATTTTTTTTATACAGAAATTATTAATTTTTTTATAAGGATTCAAAGTGTGTTGAAAAAAAAAATAACAGTAACGAACAAATTTTATATAATTTTCTTAAATAATTTAAATTAAGTTTTCATTAAACAAACCAAATTCATACTTTTGTTTTTCCCAAAAAAAAAAAAAGAAATAACTCAAAACTGTTGTTAGCATAGAGCCCTAAGGCTGGGGCCCCTGCCCTACCCCCTCAAAAAAAATATCTCTGCTCTGATATCCGTTGTGGCAAAAAATCGCTTATTACTCCTCCCTCTCACTGTCTGAAAAAGTTTTTCCTTTTTCCAAAAAAAAAAAAAAATATATAATTACAGCTTAAACAGGTTAGTTGTGTTTTTTTTTTCTATATCAAATATATATTTATTATCTATATCATTATTTTTTATATATCTATAAATAAAAAAAATCTTATATATAAGCCACAGAAACACTTATATTTCTTCTTGTATAAAAAAAACAAAACAAATGTAAGCAAAACAGAAAACTGCAAAACCAGTGATTTTTCGATTTCCTTTAAAGAAAAGAGCTCTCAAAAGCTAAATATAAATATATATTTTGAACACAATTGTTTTAGATGTTGACTTGTGCCTTTGCAAAATGTTTTTGTTAGTGATGTGAAACAGCAACAACAACAACAACAGAAATCTATCTACCAACAACAACAACAACACCACCATCATCAAACAACTACTCTTCTCCTTCTTCCCCCCCAACCCAGTGAAGTGTGAAGTAAAATCCAAAAAACGAAAAAAAAACTTACTTTGTAAAACCAACATTTATAGTTATAAATATAAACTTTAAGTTAAGTTTGAAAAAAAAAAGAAAAGAAAATATTTTATATATTTTTTTTACATTGTAAATGTCTCTTGTTTTTTTTTTTTACATATATACAAACAAATATTTTACTATATATAGAAATTAATTTCAAATTGAGAGAAGTAAAACCAAACCCATCACCACCACTCTCATTTCAAAATGTCTTGAGGTGATAGGGGGTAAAAATTTTCTTCGAATAGAGAAATCTCTGTATTTTTTATGCATTATAATAATAACGTTTTTTAAACATACACACACCAACAAACAAAAAATATTAGCCACTGTAAGTTGTTTTTGTACACTTAGAAACATATTTATAATAAAAACAAATAAAGGTCAATGATTTTTTTCTGAACAGAACAGACAAAAAACAAAACGTAGAAAGAAACAACTACAGCCCAAATCATAAAGAAAATTTGAAAAACAAAATTTAAAAATTAAAAAAAAAATTAAATTATTTTAAAGAAGTTTAGAAAAAAAAAATCAAATTTTATTCAAGAAATTGAAAAAAAATATTTTTTCAACAAAAAAAAATATTTATTTAAATTATGTGAAAAATTTAAAAAAGTGAAAGTCAATGAATATTTTATAAATATCCCTAAAAATATACCTCAAAAAACGAAAACTGTAGCCCCAAAAGAAATTTGAAGGAAGAATTTACCCAATTATTTTCTGAGCTCTAAAATAATTTTTATACCCTCCACCATAGTATGAAGGGTATATTAAGTTTGTTATAGCGTTTGTAACATCTCGACACATATATTTTAGACCCCTCAAAGTATATATCAAGAACAAGAACAGCATAAAATTCTATACCGATTTAGCGATGTCCGTCCGTCTGGAAATCACTCTAGCTTCCGCACAAAATGAAGTAGGTTGATAAAATTTTACTCAAGTGTGAATTATGTCTGCAGGAGGGCTTTTCGTATTGAAAATAGGTGATGTAGGTCCACGTTTTGGTATAGCCCCCATATAATGGAACCTCCTCCCGATTTTCGGTAGTTTGATGATTTCAGCGGCATTATTAACCGGAATTGTTTCAAATTTGGTATTTGAAGTTCGAAATGGATACTACAGCCTAAGACAGAAAATTGGCTGTGCAAGTCCACGTCTTCGTATAGCTCCCATATAACGGTACCTCCCGATATTCGGTATTTTGATGATTTTAGCGACATTATTCACCGGAATTGTTTCAAATTTGGTATTTGAAGTTCGTAATAGATGCTACAGCCTCTGACAAAAAATTGTCTGTGCAGGTCCACGTCTTCGTATAGACCCCATATAACGGTACCTCCCGATATTCGGTATTTTAATGATTTTATGGACATTTTTTCACCAAAATTATTTCAAATTTGGTATTTGAAGTTCGTAATGGATACTCTGGCCTATGACAGAAAATTGTCTCTGCAGGTCCATCCTTTCTTATGTTCCTTAGATATGTTTACAAAATATTGTTAAAAAAAAAAAACGATTATAGACTTGATGATCCTTAAATGTCCTAACTAAGAAAGACGAAAAAATATTCTTAGAATATTCATGGTTATAGCTCTGAGTTCCTTTAAAACGTTGGATTGTTGTCCTTAAAAAAATCACTTTAAAAATCCACAAATTTTGCCTTGAAGGGCTCTAAGAGATTCCCTCTCTCTCTCTCTCTCTTTATGAAAACCAGGATTTTAGTCCTTCAGAATTTTCGTTAAAAGTCCAATAATGAAGCTCCTGAAAAATGTTCTTTAAAAATCCACAAATGTAGCTTTAAAGATCCTTAATAAATATTATTTGAAAAAAACCTGGATTATGGCATTGAAGGTCCTTAAGAAAAGTTGTCCACGATTATATTCTTGAAGCTCTTCAAAAATATTCTTTTAATGTCCCATAATGAATTCTTCAAAAAATCCGCAATTTTTGCCTTAAAGATCCTTAAGAGATATTCTCTCTCTCTTAAAATCACGATTTTAGCCATGAAGTTCCTGAGATATATTCTTTACAGATCCATAATTATAGCTTTGAAGATTCTTAGGGAATATTTAAAAAAAATCACAATTATAGACTTGGTAGTCCTTTAACAATCCGTTGTAGTCCTTAAGGTCCATAGGCAATATTCTTTAAAAATCCTGGATTATTGCCCTGATGATCGACAATTTTAGCCTGGAAGGTCCTTAAGAAATAAAAATTCAAGTCGTGTAAAGTATTCTATAAATATCCACTATCCTACATTGACAAATAACTTAAATACTCACTCGAGAAATGATTTTGAATGTCCGTAAAAATGCCCAAGTAATACCCCTGAATAAATATTCGTTAAAAATCCAAATTATAGACATGAAGATTCCTGATTTAAATCCTTAAATATCCACATTTTTAACTTTGTTAGTCATTGAAAAAAAAAAAAAAAAAAAAACAAAAATAGATATTTTAATCGACATGTTCTTTAAATATGAATATTTCAAATATTCCATATAAAAATTGTAATTAAACTCGAAATTTTTGATATTAAAAATCTATAAAAAAAATTAAGATCGGATATGGATATTCCTTGAACAAAATGTTCAAAAAATAATTGAGGTTCATAATGTTCTTCCTGCATTTCAAAAGCCCTGTTTCAAAAAGCTCTATTTAAAAAATACAAATCAATTCGTCTATAGAAAATATTCCTAAAAATCTAAAATTTTAGTTCAAAAAAATCACCGAAAATTACCCACAAAATCCTCAGTTATAGCTCAATACGGCATTCTTTAAAAAAAAAAAATATATATATATATAATATATTTTATTTAATATTCCTTTTTATTCATATAAAACAAAAAAAGAAAACTTTAAATTTCTAATAATCACAAAACTACTTTAGAATTCAAAAGATTCTCAATTAGAATACAGAAAAAAAAATGTTTAAAAAAATCCAAAAGTTGGTTTCGTATAGTCCTTGAAACTAATTTTTTTATTAAATATTCCTTTTTTTTATTCATAAAAATATTTGCTAAATACTATTGAAATTTCTGATATTAAAAAAAATTCCATAGAATTCAAAATTGTCTTTATGGATTGGACTGTAAATGTTTTGTATTTTTTATTCCCCCACCCAAAAACTCTCAAAAAAATCATACCTCTTAAGAATCCTCCACAAAAAGATGGGGCAATTTGCATTTCCCATCCATGCCGGAAAGATGATTCTCCTCCAATGTAATTTTGCAACGATGGACCTCTTACCACCCACCCAACCGCAACTGGACAGCAGACTTTCAGCACAAATGGGTAATGACCAAAAACCAAAAACAAGATAAATATATTTTCGAGGACAATATCCATTGAAAGATTTGAAAATGTTTTTGAAATATTAGAGTCTTGGCTGTGTTAGCAGCTCTTTGTAGTTATCTGACCATATTGGCGTATGATTGTCTTCATAACGTATACGTTGTGTAGTGTTACAATTAAAATTAATCATAACACCCAGTGTACTTTTCTGAAAAATATTCGATATATTAGAAGTTTTAACATTTAGTTATAGCTGAAGCTGGCAGTCTCTAATATTTCAAAATTTCAATGTCTTTCTTTCTAATATTTTTACGAAAAATGCTTACACCTGTGTGCAGTGTCTTTTTCCTACTACCACTACCACCACTACAGAAAAAATCTACCGAGGCACTTCAAAATGTCATTCAAAAAAATAATTTTTCATTTTTTTTCTCTCCTCAAAACAAAATAATCGAAACTAATTTAGTTCCTTAGGCTAACTAAAATAAATTTAAATAGCATATATTAATCCCAATTAATTACTTTTTGGTTGCGGTATATCATGAATAATGTTTTAGCCCATAAGACTGTGTAATTTTAACAATATAACTCTTAATTATTAGTAACTAAGTTGTTTGTATATGTAAAATAAAATTAAAAACAAAATCACACACACACACACATCCAAAGAAAAGAAAACTAAAACTGGCATTTGCATTTGCTTAACCAAGCATCCAAGAAACAAAATTCTCTTAAATAACATTTAAAATAAATTAAAAAAAAAACCTCATTCCACTTTCTCATTTCACATAAAAATCATATCTAAATAATACAAAAAATAATTAAAAAAAACTTAAAACAAACCACGCATCCCATGTAATATTTCAAACCTCAACAAAAATGCACCTGCAAATGTTATTTTTAATACAAAGAAAAAAACTACTCTTTTTCTCTCTCCACCCTCTATATTATATGTGTCAAAATGTCTGTCAAATATTACAACAAAAAATAACAAGACCTCAGCTCAATACCTTTTTTTTGTTATTAATCTTTACTTGTTATCAGATTTCTCTCTTTATTTTTTTCTCTCTCTCTCTCTCTTTGTATGTTCCACACATTTAAATATATACATCTAGCAATTAATAAATAATTAAAACTTTTGTATTAATAATCTATGATTAATTTTTAATTTAAAAAAAAAAAACAACAACTACAACCAAAATATTTGTTTAATTTTAATGCTAAACGAAACTGAACAAAACTAACCAAAGGCCAAGTTAACTAAAACAATTTATTATTTTTTTTTATAAATAAAACCAAAACAAAAAATCAAAAAAAAAAAAAAATAAGAATTTATATTAATCGATTCTTTTTTTATATATAGTTAAAAAAAAAAAAACAATATTTCATGTTTTTGTAAATTACTTTAAAGTTTGAACATATAATTCTTAATTAACTCTTTTTTATTTACATTGCACCAATAAAAACAAAAAATCTAAAAAATAGGGGGGATTTTTTCTAATCCCCTTTCTAATCCAATTTGAAGAAATATGAATGTTTATTAAATAATTTCTTTTTTATTATTATTTTGATTTTATTAATCACATCATGTGTATATTTGCAGATATCTCTTACACCACCCGAAGCAGCACTGTAGATAAAGGATTTGATGTTTATGGAATTACTTTAAATGGAATTAATGTTTTTTTTTTTTTTTTTTTTTTGTGTTTAATGGGAAGTTGAAATATTCTTGAAAAACCGCGATCCGTGAATGACCTTAAAGAACAAAAAAAGAACGTTTAGAGCTCTGTTGGACCTTTTAAAAATATTGTTAAAAATAGCCCCCAAAATATTTTAAAATTAAAAAATCTTGAAACAGTAAAAAATCTAGGATATAACCTCTTTAGTCCTCACTCTTTTGAAAATTCACAATTATAGTTCTTTTAGGGCTTGAAAAAATATTTGTTAAAAAATCACAATTAGCCCCCTTAGTCATTAAACGATTAGCCCCCTTACCTCATTTGGGAGTCTTAAAATACTTTATAAAAAATCCTCATCTTTAGTTAAAGTAGTCATTCGATTTTCTTTAGAAATTTTCTTTAACAACCAATGATAATAGACTTGAAAATCCTTAACAAATATTCTTTACAATATTCACGAGTATAGCTTTGAAGATTCTTAAGAAATGGCCCAGAAGGTCCTTTAGAAATATTCTTTGCAAAATCAGCGATTACAGCCTAGAAGGCACATGAAAACTTTTCTTTGCAAAATCAAAGTTTATGGCCTTGTGGATTCTTAAGAAATAGCCCAGAAGGTCCATCCAAAATATACTTTACAAAATTCACGATTAAAGCCTAAAATATCCGTGAGAAATATTCTTAAAAAAAAAACAGTGATTATAGACTTGAAGCTCTTCAAGAAACCCTTTTTACAAAATCCACGACTATAGCCCTGTAGGTCCTTAAGAAGTATTTCTTACAAAATTTACGATTATAGCCTTAAATGTTCTTAAGAAATATTCTTTATAATATTTACTATTGTAACCTGAAACGTCCTTAAAAATATTCTTTAAAAAAACCAACGCTAAATGTTCATTTAGTCCCCAAAAAAATACATTCTCATAAATTTTATGATCTTGGAAAAATTACATTAACTATTCATGGCTATAACCTTTAAAGGTCCTTATATAAAATCCATTATTGACCTGGAATAAATATTGATGCAATCAATTTTTAGGTCATATGCAGGGTGTGATAAAAAAAACTGCAACAAAGTAAAACGTCATAATTTTTACATTTTTTTAAATGTTATTAAATTAAAGCAAGAAAGGTCGGAAATATCATAAAATTAGAATAAGTTTAGATTTATTCGAATTGGTCACCTTTGGCACGAATTATGGCCTTCAACGGGCCAACGGAACCTTCACACGCTGCCCGAAAGTTGCTCTGCGGTATTTTGGCCCATTCCCGGCGAAGCGCTTGCTTGAGGTGATCGACACTTTGGTATTTTTTAGTGTAGTAGTCCAAAATACTCCAGACACAATAGTCCAACGGGGATTGGTATCCGGAGATTTTGGTGGCCATTGTGCGTCGGAAATGAAGCGAGGAACCTCATTTTTTAACCATTTTTGGGTGGCGCGTGCTAAGTGCGATTGTGCTGAGTCCTGATGGAATGTCCAAGGTCTGTTTGCCATAATGTTTGCGTGCCCAAGGCTTTAATAACCCTCCAGAATATTTTCGCAATAGTATTCGGCATTTATTATGATGCCACTGTCGATTACTACGATGGGAGAGCGACCATCGCCTGGTATGGCGGCTCACACACCATCACCATAGTCGGCGCTTGAGTTCTGGTGGCCAGCCGAACAAGCTGGTACATTTTCAGCTGACCTCTGTGGCAAGTAAACACGATCCTTTTGTTTGTTTACAAACTGCTGGACAACGAATGTTTTCTCATCGAAAAAAACCAATTTCGGCAGTTCACCATTTTCGGCCAAGCGAAGCAACTCTTTAGCTCTTTTGAGTCTATTTTCTTTCTGTTGCGGTGTAAGTTCTTGCACTTTTTGAAATTTCAATGGCTTTACTCCGAGCTCGTTTTTCAATATTTGCTGAATGGAATATTGCGATATGTTCAGCTCACGAGCCATTTTTCGGCCACTGCGACGCGGGTTTCGATCAAGTCGCTTCTGTACTTTTCGAATCATTTCTTCGAACCTTGACGTAGGGCTACGCTACCAGTATTACGGTAACGAGCGATGGTACGAGACACAACAGATTTATTCATATTTAAACGCGGGAGTGCTCTAACGATGGCCACTTGTGGTTTTCCAGGCAAATATAATGAAATCACACTATCACGCTTGAATTCCAATGCGAATAACTTTTTTTCTGGAAAATTCTCACCAAAATGCTTTTGTACGCATGTAAACAATATAATTAATTGTCACTGGAATAATTTTAACAGTTGTCGGATGAGTGGCTTAGAAATGACAGCAGTCTGAAGTTGGTTTGCAGTTTTTTCATCTCACCCTGTAATTTCAGAGTTATTGCATTATTAAACCTTAAAAATTCAATTCACCACTACTTTTGAACTAGTCCTTGCAAATTAATTAAGATTCAATAGCTGGACATTGAAAGAAATTCCTTAAAAATCTAGAAATATTTCTTGCCCCTGAAAGAAAATCTTTAAAATTATAAAAAATCCACTACTTTTCTTTGAATAGTAACTGCAAAAAAATCATCAAAAATCCTCGATTTCTAATCAACTCGTTTTTGAATTATTTGATTTAACAATTCTTCTTGGCAGCTCTACTGTGGTGCTTCAACTGAATAATTAAAAAAGTCTTCAATTAAACGTTTTCTAGTCCTATAATACAAGTATTGTAAGATTCACTTTAAAAGCTCTCCAAGTGCTTGAAAATATCATTAGTCCATGTTATTTAAAAAAAAACATGGTTATTACGTAACCAGATCCTAAAAATTTAGTTGATCTTGAAAAATATGTTTTTAAAAACACCTAGACTATATCTGAGCTAGTTCTTGAAAAATCATTAAAATTTAAAGATTTTTTCCTCTTATAGTTCTAAAAATCACAAATCCATGTAGGCTATAAAAAAATTCTAAACAAAAAAAAAATGAAAAACAAAAATTATATAGAAAAAAATCTACCCATAAACATCAATAATTTTATCTGCAAAATCTGTCATGTGAATGTTTATTATCTATGTACCTTGTGTATTAAACCTCTTTGTATCTAACTAATTTTCCAAAATTTACAGGTTCATTTAAACACTCAGAAATTTAAATTAAATTAAAAAAATTATTTAATAATTTAATTTAAAAAAAAAAAATCATAATTTTTTACGTATTTTTTTAAATTTTTGTATCCATAAATACATTTTGGATTTTGTGATATAACACCCCTTACATGTTTGCAACAAATCTTTATAAAATAATTCATTTTGAATTTGCAACTTTAAGTTTTTCTTCGATAATTAAAAATTAAAATTTCTGTGTGTCCACTCACTTTTGTTTTCATTTGATTATTTACTTTTTCCCTTCATTTTTTTAAGGGACTGTTTCTGTATGCATTTCAAATATGTTGTTCAAAAGTTAAATTTTACAAAAAAAAAAAAAAAATAAATAAATAAATAAATAATTTTAAAAAAAATAATAATAAAAAATAGCAATTATTGTAGAATCGGATTTTCTTTCACATACACTTTCGTATAGATTTTCAGAAACAGGAGCTTTCAGACATCCTGCAAATATACACATGATGAGATTAAAAAAATCAATATCTTTATATATAAAAAATATATATTTAATTAATATATGATATATAACAATTTTACTAACCCTAACAATTTTATTAACCCTAACCACATTTTGTTTTTTTTTTCTCTCTTCTCTTGCCATATGTTTTGTTGTAAATGCTAACATCCCAACAAAAAAATCATAAACAACACAAAAATCACTCATACCATGGGTGCCACGGTAGATGACTAATCTGAACAAAAAAAAAGCCAAAACAAAAATCCGTCTTGTAACTAAAGAAGCTGTTCCCCTCCAAGGGGTAGTCACGGGAAACGGCGCAATGTAAATGACTTGTAAAGCACACAATTGTGAATGTGAATAAAATACACAACACAACACAGGGGTCCAGTCCAGCTCAGCTAACTAATGATGCCGATGCTGTAACAGCAGAGCAACAAAAATCTCCTCTTGAAATTAGAAGAGGAGATCCTTGAGGAAAATCATTTTATGAAAAAAAAAAACGATTTATGGAAAACAAGAGTCTCAACCAGGTCTTTGAAGACACAACATTCAAAATTGAATCTCATTTAACAACAACGACAACAACAAAAACCCGAAATATCCCGGCAGCAAACAAAAATGAATTTTTTGCTAGAAATCTCTTCAATTCTCTGTATAATTTGAAAACATTTTTAAATTAAACTAACGAACAAAACAATTACCTTTTTCTCTCAACTTCATCCTACATATACCCCACTCTACTTATGTTTCTCTTATTTCTTATAAATTAATTTCATGATTAATTATATTTATCTGATAATGTAAACCCCCCACAAAAACCAAACCAATTTTCATTATTTTTACATCTCTATTTTGTATTCAATATTAATTACTATATTTTCTCTCCTTCCCCCCTCCTAATTTTTATATCACTTGAGTGTAATATTTACTTAAAATATATTTTTTTTATTTTATAATGGAAATATATAAATATTTTTTTTTTTAATTTTCTGTTTAAGTTTAAAAAAAAGAAACCCATTGTTAATACATTACAAAATTAGCAACAAATGCAAAAACAAAAAAAAGTGGAGATACCTATATTTAGGTTTATAGATTTTGTTTATTTTGGATTAATGTATTTTTTTTCTTTTTTTTTAATTAGCAAATAATCAAAACAAATTAAATAATAATTATAATATGTAATTTACAGGAAACAAAGAACAAAAAGAAAAAATAAAATAAAAAATATATTTTTTTTATATATATTAACAAAAATAAAAATCTCAAAATAAAAATAAACTCTAAAATTTACACAAAACCTAGGAGAAAAAAACATATTTTGTTTAACAAAAGCAAACTAAGCGCCATATTTAGTTGTTAACTATATTAAAAAAAAATAAATAAATAAAATAATAAAGAAAACTCAAAAAAAAAAAAATACTGAACAAAAAACCTAAAATAATTTGTTAATGGAAAACCCCCATCCCTTTTTAATTTACCACCCTTTCATACTTTATTAATATTTTTTTTAAATCCAAAAAAAACTCAAATTTATTAAAGCAATTTGTATAAAAGAAAATAACCTAATTTCGTATATCAAAACAAATCATTTATTAGTTTTTAAGCTAAACAAATCAAACGCACATCTAAACTTAGCAATTATTATGAATAATAATCATTTTTTTATTATTATTAATATATATAACTTAAAACATAAAGAAAATATAATTGTGACCCCTCCATTATATAGATATGATGTATGTTTGTATTCTCTACCCCCCCCCCCCCCCCCCCCCCCCCTTCTTCTTGATGCGCACTCATTTTCGTTAAGCACTCACTCATTCACCCACCAAATACAAACTCATTTTTTATCATCAATTCAAAAAAAAAAAAAATAATTAAATAAGGAATTTGGACAAGAATAAGAATAATAATAAAATTTAAATTAATTATTAAAAATTAAAACAAAAATACTGAGAGATTTTTTAAAAATAAATTAACAAAAGAAAAAGCCAGCAAATGTTTCAATCCATTTCCAAATGAAATATGAAAAAATATATATTGTTTAAAAAAAATAATTAATAGTATTCCAAGGCCAATTTTCGCACTATTTGACAATTGTCGCTCTATAGTGACTTGATCCTCTTTGAATTTTAAGTCAAAACATATCCTCCAATAGGAAACTAATTTTTCAGATGGGTTTAAAGGTTGATCTTATATAGCCTTACCATGGCATTATATAAACGCACAAAAAAACCAAGGTCCTATTTCAGTATGACAATATACGAATGCCTGAGAAAGCCAATATTTCAAAAATTTTTTTTTCATATTTTTAACTTTTTTTATTAAATTAAATTTAAAAAAATCACTCATTTGAAAAATCACTCATACAAAAACATTTCCATAGTGTTTATAAAGGGCCAGATTACATCATTAGTTAGATTCATATGTAAAATGAGTTTTTTACATTTCTTATTTAAGATATAGCATACTTTTAAGCGCTCCATATAATTTCTAAAGTTAAAAAAAAAACACTCCACTCCTTATAAACTGTATATTGAACAATACTCTATTATATGCATGTACTATACTTATATAATTAATATATAATTTTACACCAGTAGTGGGATTCTCTAACTCATTTTTTAAGTTACCGACAAAAATCGGTAACTTTGAAACCCAAAATTTTGATATAAAAAAGAAGTTAAAGTTGACAACATTGGTATCTATCGGTAGGTCTTAGCGACTACTTTGATTTTGTATTTTTACCGACTTTGGTCGGTAACTCAAAAGAGATTTAGAGAATTCCACTACAGACTTCCGGAAAACTTACTCGAATTCGACTAAAAAGTAAAACAGGCGGGAACTCTGCTGGAAGTAGAAAAAACATAAGAGCACAACTCAATTTTTCAGTTTTGCTTAAATGAGGGTGAGCAAAATTCACTCAATTCTATTCTTTCCGAGTACTCTTTTTTCGGAACACCAACCTTCCCCCCTTTTCTGCAGTATCAAAACCCTTTTGCTGCTACACGCACACACAAATCAGAAAACTATTTTTTTTTAATTTTTAGAGCAAATGCTCCCTGTAATTCGAGGGATTCGGTTCCTCCACTCAAATTAAACCCTACACCATAAGGCAAATGGAAACGAGATAGACCCATACTCCCTTTTGATGATCTGCATAGAATCACACTTTTGAGTCGATTTATGCATGTCCGTCCGTCTGTCCATGTTCGATCCAGATGAAATTTTGCACAAATCATTTGTTTGACTCAAGGACGAATCCTATTAAAATTGGAGATAATCGGTAAAAATTTAGATATAGCTCCCATACATATTTTCGTCCCAATTGCCTTTATTGTGCACCAAATGTGTAATATAAACCCAAGTAGGATGGAATTTCGCATATGCGGCAAAACTGAGCCTAGAAATAAGCATGTCAAAATTTATTGAAATCGGTTCAGATATAGATAACTATAGCTCCCATATAAATTGTTCATCCGATTTATTACAACAATATTTGAGGAAATATATCAAATAGAGCTCAGAAAATAACCTTCCAAATTTTATTAAGATCGCTTCAGATTTGCATATAGCTCCCATACATACCTTCGTCCGATTTTCCTTTTATTGTGCACCAAATGTTTAATATAAGCCCAAATAGGATGGAATTTGGCATATACGACCAAACTGAGCCTATAGAAACAAGCATGTCAAAATTGATCGACATCGATTCAGATATAGCTATAGCTCCCATATACATTGTTCATCCGATTTTTTACTCACTCTGTAACAACAATATTTGGGGAAATGTATCAAATACTGCTCAGAAAAATACCCTTGCAAAATTTAATCGAGATCGGTTCAGATTTGGATATATCTCTCTTATATAACTTTGTCCGATTTGCCTTTTACTGCGCGCCAAAGGTGTAATATTAAACCAAATAGGATGTAATTTGTCACTCACGACAAAATTGAGTGTAGAAACAAGTATCTCTAATTTGATGAAAATCGGTTCAGAAATACCTATACCTCACATATATTATTCATCCGATTTGTTATATTTGCTTTCCACAGCCGTAATATGCACTCCATATTCTGATAAAATATATCAAATACAGTTCCAAAATACCATATCTATCTTTATCCGATTTCAAGTTAATTGTACAACAAATGAATATTACAAGCACGAATTGGAAAACCACAAATGCCTCGGCAAATTTTGGTAGAAATCGATTCAGAGGAGGATATTCCTCTCATATATTAGTTCCTTTGGACTTTAAATTTTGACTATACTCATAGTTGTTATTATTAAATTCTCACAAATTCCCCATAAAAAACGTTTATTTGTTATGTGAAGCTCTACTAAATATGCAAAGTGGTGTAGGATATCATAAAGTCGGCCCCGATCGACTTTAAGACTTTCTTTACTGGTTTTGCAAACAGTAGAGACTCGGGAGCACTCCCACACACACACAAAACAAAAGAGTGAAGAGTAAACTCCATATTAACACTTCTTGGGAGCGTCTAAAAGTTATAGCATACAAACAGCACGAGATGAATGTAGAAAATGTCGCATTACATATGACTAACACAATGTGTAATCTGGCCTTCGGGCAAATCGAAAATAGAAAACCTTTCTTAACCTTAACATTTTTTTGAGCCTATAAGTATGCAGTAATATTGCAATCACTTGATATTAATAAATTGAAATGTAAAATATACACAAAAATTAACAATTGTCAGGATAGAAGATAGATAGATAGACATATCCCAGAATAGAAGGCTGGGATATGTCTACCAATTTAAGCCACATCCAGGGGTCAAATTCTTTAATTCGATATTGAAGAAATTTTGAGCGAAACTAATTTGTTTATGAGCATTTGAGAAGGATAAAATTGAAAAATTATATGTTAGAAACCACTGGGATCTGGCTGTGACAATCAATTTGAAATCGTTTCGAAATTCGAAATTCTCAATTCTATCGAAAAAAAAAATTATAGTGGCAAACCATAGTAAACCTTTGGCGCCCAAATGTATAGCAAAAAATAACCTGTTTACAGATCTGCATGAATGTTAAAATTGTTACTAAGATAAGCAATATTCCCTTTATGATATTGAAAAAATTGCGAAAATTAGGTTCCGCAATAGATCTTTTATTTATATACATCTAGTGTTTTTGAAAATATCCTATCTTAGTATTCGGTCACATACCAAATTTAAAAAAAAAACCATAAAACCGAAACGGTGGTTTTATGTTGATGATGTGCACAAAATTTCTATCTCACAGCAAAAGAATAAAGATATTTTTGTCTCCATAATTTATTCGAAACGATTACCTGTTTGTCCGGTACAAAGATTTTTTTTTGTACAAAATTGCGAATCGTTTAGCATTATTCATGTAGAATTTTTTGAAAAGTTTCTGAAAATAGCTCACCTTATTTTCACCCATCTGCAAATTTGGAAAATATTTTTAATTTAGCCCTTTTGGCTTCGGATTGACATATGTCAGTATAGAAAACTCAATTGTAATAGGTCCCCGAATTTAAATAAAAACTGAATTCCCATTATTTTGATATTCATATTTTTGTCACATAATTGAAGTTTAATCTAAATTTTCTTTTTTGGCCACAATTCTGAAAATTTACTCTCTCTCTCGCATTAGATTATTTTACAAAAATAAACCTTGATTAAAGCTTGAATTCGTTAGAAAAAAATGTTGGCACCCTAATTTATGCCATGTGCAAACAAATGCGTTTGTTTATGTTTCTTTCAAACGATTTTGCTTTTTTAATAGTTGTTTTAGCTTCATGTAGTTTATTGACAAGTCAGTAAATCTGGGGTTATAATCTCACATTAGATCTCGGAAAAAATGTCGATCGTAATGAATTTAAAATTGTACAGATTAGCTTGATTAAATTGAAAATGCTTTCAGACCCCGGTCGCTTTTATTAAAATTTTAATTTTCATTAATCTAAAATGTATGCCCCTCAAATTTCATTTCAATCGAAAGTTGTTCGATATTGAATGCGTTAGCTTGGCCCCATGCCTTAATTGAATCCGAAGTTCTTGTAAAATCCTATTTTTGGAACCTTCTTCTGAATCTATTTATCTACGTCTTTCCACTTGTCAAGGTCCATATTACATTTGTGGTTATGAAAATAATAAATACCCCGATTGCAAGTATTAAAAGGTGATGCTTAAAGATAATTGTAACACCAAAGTCTTGGGGTGTCTATTTAAGGTTATAGAGCACTTAGTAAATTAATGACTTCCAGTTATTCACCTTTTCAATTTAGGGAAGAAAGGAGATTGATATGAAATTTGCCAATGTTCAAAATTGGTTCTGGCTAACTTTTAATTATCCATTTTCAGTAAATGTATACTTCTTGTCAAGTTGATGGCATGTTTTTTTTTTTTCTTTTTTATGAAAATTAT